TTTTGCAGATCAACTGTGGGGGGATCCTAACAAGTATGCGTCCTGACCATGGTGATTCAACTATTGTTTTATTGTTTTGTAAAATAAAGTTAATATCTTCCACTCCCATTAATCGATTCATCTATTATTTACCCGTGTTACAACATCGTCAATATGTGACTTGCCATATGGTTAATGCATTCATGTCACAGATGTCAAGATTTGGTTTTTCTTAAAAACAAATAAATTAATTTTTAAAAAATCAATACAATCAAAACAATACTTAATATTAGATATGTTTACAGATTTGCATAAAAACGTTTCCCTCTCTTTTATTTAAGGCATGTGATTTGAAAAAAAAACTTGATCTGGGGATGTCAACTGATTTCCAATTTCAAGAGAATACAAGGGACACAACTGCTCAGGCATCTTCTGCAGTGTTGCTTCTGTGAACAGTTCAGCTGTAAAACCTGGGAAGGCCAATGCTTTTGTGTTCATTAAAAAATGCTATAAGGGGAAGGGCATTCTTATCTTATATACCTGTAAATGATACAAGCAAATATCTCATCACCTGTCCTACAAGCAGCAGGTAATTAAAAAAAAGGATCTCCTTAAGTGTCCATTTAAGTGATACAACCTGCTTACCTCATAGATACAATATACCAACACATCCAGCAACTGTTTTCTGGGTTAACCTTCCTGTTTCAAGCGAAAAATTGAGTCATTTTTAAGGTGACTTGGTCATCCCCTGATCTATGGTGTTGTCCTTTCCAGGACAGCCATATTTAAACTGGCTGGTCCTCAAGGGCAGAACATGAGCCTTCCATATCATTCAAGATGGCTTCCATAAGTGCAGAGCTGATACACAGCTCACCTAAAGAATCATCATATTCCCCTCTTTATGGGCTGTACCCCTTTTAGAGACCTAGGAAGCAGTCCGTAGACCTGAGACTTCAATTACCTTTACAGAAAGGCACTTGGCTCCAATAGCTTGTTAAGACTTTACCAGTGGCACCTTTTGTTCCGGGACACGCAGGCGTCGATGGAAATGAAAGAGCTGACAGGTTGACTGGATCCGCTATCACTACCGACAGTCAGCCTATGGATCATGCTGATATGCCCTCCGAGAAATGGGAAGGATAGAGGACTTTGGTGGCAGTGAATCCACATCACTCGCCAGAATGGCAGACTTGGGAATTAAGATCGGCACAGCAAAAAACGAGACGCACACCAGACACGCCAGAAGACTTGTTAATCAACATAGAACTGGTACTATTAGCCATCGGACGTTGGGGTTCATACTGAGGGGAGGATCTGAGTACCTATGGACATGTCCGGAGTGCAATGAGGATAACCCAACTAACTAACTAACTAACTAACCTTTGGCACAGATGCCCTGTGGCATTTTGTTCAGCATTTATGGGAAGCATGCATAAGGAATGAATTCCTTGCATGGGCATGTACTCCGAGTGTGAAATATGACTAGAAACCTTAATGGCGGGAATGGAAAAGCTAATAACAATAAGTGCTGAATGTGACTAGAAAGTTCAACCGAGGGATGGAAACATAAATACAACTACATTTTTCGACTAACTGTGTACTGAATACAGCACTAACTGTGACTGGAAAACAGAATTCAATTCTATAGCTTGCTTTGATCTATCACCTTGTGGGGGTTTTGGTGGATTTCCAATTATTTTGGCTTATTCTGTTGATAAGAGACTAATATATCAGGTTGTTCTTCGTTTGCTGTCTTGAAGGTTCCCTAGCTAGTTTATCAGCTCTCTCATTTCCAGCAATTCCAGGGGGATGATATCGATTAGAAAGTTGTGTTAGCATACCTGGTAATTTTCCAGAACAGAGTGTCTGAAGCACTGCTCTTGCATTCATCAGGAACAGTATGGGTTATGAAATATGACTGGTATTCAGCACTTTCTCTGCTGCAATCTTGATGGCTTCAACCTCTGCATCATAGTTGTGACAGTACTTTCCTATTGGTATTTTCGCTGAACCTTTGGTGTTATCTGAATGCTTCATCCAAACTGAGCATCTGCTTGCATTTTGTGCTGACCCATCTCTGTAGACAGGAAACCTAGAATCCTGAAGGCATTCAGCATGAAGCCGAGTGTGGCCTTTTTTTCATTGCACTGTTTTGTTCTTTCTTGTTGATTACTCTTTTCACTTCCATCTAGTCGTGTAGTAGGAACTTACATTCCTTTCTCCAGAGTGCGCAATCTGAAATGACATTTATGGGGCTGTCAGTTGCAGGGTCTTTGTGCTTGGTGAATGAAACTGCTTCCTTTTAGTTGCCCTAGTGCTAGATTTTGGAATCTTTCTTTTTTTCATATGGTGGTGTCTAGGCAGGCTTAGAAACTTTCATGTTTTCTGTCAGTGCCATCACAGATATAGGTGGTGATTTCATCCTTCCTACCTGTTTTGACTGAATACAGAAGTTAAAAAGTGCAAAATCAAGCTGTATGTATTTTGATGCTGAACTCCATGCAGTTTCAAAGTGTGCTTGCTTTTGTTGCTGTGTTTTTTCCACGTGACTCCAAGGTATGTGGGCTTCTTATCCTCTCTTAGTGGTATTCCATTTACCATTGGTAAACTGAAACTGTAAATAACTTCCGCCCCCCTTGTCAAATACCTGATAACCGATTAAGCTATTATTTTGATGACCATATAACCACCATTTGTAAACGAAATTAACATCTTTTGCCCCAAGCGGTACCCATTAATTGATTCAAATATTATTTTGATGACAACAGACTAACATTTATAATTGTTATCTTTGAAAACTGGCAATATTAGTATCCATCTGGAAGAAGAAAGGCAGCAAGAGAGACTAAGAGAAGTATAGAGGAGTTTCGTTACTGAGCCACACCGGTAAAATATATGGTAAGATCCTTGAAACAAAACCCAAAAAAAGCCACGTCCTATTATCGAACCACAACTTAGTGAAGGACAAATGAGATTTCGGAAGAAGAGAAGTTGTAGTGATAGAATATACACACTTAGACAATAAGTGGAAAGGACGGTAGAATTTGATAAAGAATTACACAGCGCATTTGTAGACCAAGAGAAAGCGATAAAGAATTACTCAGCGCATTTGTAGACCAAGAGAAAGCGATAAAGAATTACACAGCGCATTTGTAGACCAAGAGAAAGCTTTCGATCGAGTTAATAAGAATGGAAGGTACTACATTGATTACTGAGAAAACTAACACCTTATTAAATTGTCCAAGAGTGTATAGGAGAGCAGTCAATGTGCAATAAGGTAATCCAGGAATGTCAGAAAGGTTCTACATTATATCTGGAGTGAGACAGGGGTGCGTTCTATCACCACTACTGTTCATCCGTTGATCAAATTTGCAAATCAGATAACATCAGCGAAGGGACAACATTGGAGAATCACTAAAAGAATTGCAATTAGCAGATGACCAGTCAACTATAGCACCAAATCTACAACTACACAACAGCAGTACAGCTACAAGAATATATAGACTCCATTCAGAATGTGACAACTAAGATATGAAGATCAACACAGACAAAACAGAAGTGATGACATTCTCCGGAAAAAGAAGAACCACGAATATCAAAACTGATGAAGGAAAAGGAATTAATAAATAAATCTAACAAAGATGCAAAAAAGCCAATAGAGTTTTAGGCCCAATAGCACCAATTTTGAAATGCATGTATATGAATATGAACACTAAAATAACACTGTTCAAGACAGTAATTTCACCAACACTATGCTATAATTGTCAAACATGGACAGAAGGAAAATAGCCACGATGGAAATGAAATATTTACACTGTACTAGGCACAACAAGGAAAAATCGACTTAGGAAAAATATCAGGAGGAGAGTCGGCACAGAACCAATACTGAACTTTATAGGTAGACAATAAATCAAATGGTTTGGCCATGTAACAAGATTGGCATCAGACAGGACACCACAGAGAGCAATGTTATACAGATACAACGGTAACAGAGCTGAAGATGGACCGCACAAATATCAGAGACACTGAAAAGTACTTTTTTACGAAGCAAACAGAAGGGCCATTGTCCAGAGATCTCCTCCTCCTCTGAAGCCGCAAGACATTTCAGTATAGAAAATAAACAGAATAAAGAGAAGAAAACTGGCATCTCATTAAATGTTGTTTCGTTACATCACCACCATGTGCCTTGCCTGATGGTTAAGGCATTCATGTCACGGATGCCAGGCTTTGGTTTCTTGGATTAGTTATTCTACTGACATTCCTTTATGACTGTTCAGGATCATTTCTTTTTGTCTGCCTCTGCTAGCATGGATAATTTCAATTTAAAACAATGTTTTCCTGTTAGGAATTACAATAACAAAGACACAAATCATATATCCCTGAGATGAGGTTTTACAGAAGAATCCTTAGAATTCCTTTGACAGCCAAAGAGGACAACCCAGATGTTTTGAAAGAGGTGAGAGCTTGAAGACAATTTATCATAAACATCAGAGAGTCATCATTGTTTGGTAATGTTATGAGAAGGAACCACACCTGTAGAAAAAGAGACAGAGGAAGACAACATAAGATTATTTTTGACTGCCTTCTGTCATGGCATGGAAAGGGTGTCAACACATGAACTTGGTTGAAGATCGCAAACTGTGGAGAGGCACTTGATAAAGATAATGCTGTATCTACAAGACCTATATAGTGTCTGTTTCTTACAGCTGAAAACAATTATCGACTGCCATATTTTTCCAGGCAAGTGTTGCCAATTACTCCGATCCGGCTGATCCAGATTTGTTTCGGAAACCACACCTCTGCTACTTTTCAGCTATTCCTAATTTGTTCACATTAGAAGATTCACTGACACAGTAAAACAGATTCAACAAAACACTTCAGCACTTCTTTCTGACATTTAATGAATAACCAAAATATGAATGATATAGGCTAATTCTTTCTTAGAATATCCCATACACACAAAACAGTATATGAACTCATACTTTCTAGATAAACAGAACAAAAAACAACCAGACATGTTACTATGCAAAAGTGATCTTAAGTGGCATGTTAGGCCAAGGACTTGGCTGAAACCTGTCGAGAAATCTGTCATAAGTCATCTGCATGGCTGTCTCCATTCCCTGTATCATTGGGGCACCTATCCCATACAGCTCTTTCATCTCCTCAGTCCTTCTAACTCCAGGCCGTTCTGTAGGAGCTGAAGAAATGGTTTCGTCTTCTTCCGCTTTGTCTGTTGATTTAAATAAAATATGAATTCACAACAAAAATATTAAAATGGTTATTGAAAAAAAAAGCAAATGAAAATTACACCCCAAATGTGGAAGTCAAACCAGATGATTATTTTGCTCTTTACATTCACCCTAAAATTGTTGGCCCACTAGTTATGGTTTATATAACATGGTGTATATGGAAAAGTCAAACCAGATTATTTTGCTCTTTATGTTCACCCTAAAATTGTTGGCCCACTAGTTATGGTTTATATAACATGGTGTATTATGGAAAAGTCAAACCATATGATTATTTTGCTCTTTATGTTCACCCTAGTTATGGTTTACAGCAAAGCTGCAATATCTGCATTTTTCATCACAACATAAATTATTGGTTTGCTGAAACTGGATATAGCTACCTTTCATGAGATGCTTGTTAGGGAGGCCTCAGAACTTATACAGATGAGATTGTGCCTTTTCACAAAGTACTTATAGACAGGTGTGGCAGTTGAATACCTGCTGGTTTCATTTGGTATCCCAGGTCAACTAGCCCTAAATGAATACTTGCAGATGTCATGGGAAGTAAAGGCCATCAATAAGAAAGTGACCAGATTCCCCAACGAGAGCTACTAGCTTTTACAAATATGCTGCAGTTTATGGTAATTCTGTAGTACTGTCCCACCCAATTTATTGATTGCTTCTCTTGTTGCCAGACTTGCGTGAGGGCACAAATTGTCATGAAGGAGAATTAGATCTGCCCCAAGAAGTGCATTTGTAAGTGGCCCAATGTTTAAAATATAGATCAAGCCCTTTTTGTCTTTAAGGCATGAAATATGGCCTTTTTCCTCTATGATGCTTTCATAAGCAGATGAAACGAAACAACACAAAAACATCCACAACTAATTCAAGAAACACACTATAAATGTATATTACCTCTCTCCAGTTTGTATTTGTAGGATGTGGCGAAAAACTCCAGCATTTCATTTGTGAAATTCATTTCTATATCCTCGTCATCTGATTCGTGGTTAGCCGTCTTGCAGGTTAAGGAAGGGTCCTGAGCCCTGGCTGCAAATGAGGAAGATTCCGACCGCCTTCGCCTTCTCCGTCTGCTAGAAAGATAAAAAGGCTGTTATATCAAATAGCTAGATGCCAGTTTAATTGCACATTTGTAAACAGATCTAAACATTATTGTAACGATATCAAAGAAAGCTCTGGTTTTATATTATAATAAAAGAAACAGAAGTTACATAATACAGACTGTGTAGCACATCTCTCTTCTTTGTTTCGTATGTTGATGTCACACCCAGGTTCGCCTTTAGGTTTGCTACAGGAGGAGTCGATTGGAAGATTATAGACGAGTGGAGAAAGATGGTCGTGTCGATAGTGGTGATGATGATGTCTTGCTAGCTGCATGCTTCTCATGTGACTCTGATGCTTGTATAACAAAACATCTGGAAACAACTGTTCTTGTCTGTAGTCTTTATTGTGACACTTCAGCAATGACACAAACAATATCAATAATATTTTGAATAGCGCTGGGTTCTCCCTATGGTTACATACTCTTAAATTTGCGTTGTGTTTTTCATCTCTAGTTACTTTGTTAACTAGTTCTAGTGTCCCTAACTGCCACCTGGCTTCTAGTGCTGTTTGGTACTAACGTCTTGATCGTCGACTCTAACATCTCTACAGTGTTCCTAATATGTCTCTGTTGACCATGGATCCATGTATCGTGTGTGTTGTCTCTGTAGTTCGTTGTCTCATTTCATGTCTCTTCTGTAGCGACTGTCTTCGAGGCTCCAAAGACTGGCTGCTAGTTCTTCTAGTGTTGAGTTGGCATCTTCACAAATAAAGGCTGTCTTGAGAGCCCATGTGACTGGCCTCTCCTCTCTCTCGAGTCTTGTGGACTGAAGAATTCTAAAGTGCTTTGTTACTAGCTATTTATACCTGGATGCTGGAATGCTAGGTATTTGTTTTCTTCTCGCTTTGTCTGCTTCTAGAATATTCTAGTACGCCTCAACTTGTTTACTAGGTAGGTTCTCATGTGGGATTTGCTAATTATATCTCGATTGGATCAGATTTCATCATCCTATTCTACGCAGATATAGTAGTTATACTGACAATTGAGGTCATAGAAGCTTCTAGAAAAACAAGGACAATTGCGTTTGCTTTGATAGGGCACATCAACAAGGTATTCACTAGTACGAGAAGGTTGGGTCACATGATGAAAAGAATGCATTTCAAAACTTCTAGAAAGAAGGCCAAGGCCAGACAATGACGTCAAATACTATTTAAAGATGATTCTTTTGCAAAACATTTCTCTGTTAATAACAAATGAAGTTTCTAGAAAAGGATGTCAAGGCTGCCAAAACTTGTTGATTTCCTTATATCCTAGCTTTATGCCTACTAACAAACAAGCTATGACCCACTCTGTTACAACTGTCACAGGATGCCAAATTGTCATAAGTTTATATCCTTGCTGAAAATGGAACCACTTCCCTTTACTTTCTCTCCCTGCCAGTGGTTTTCAAATGAGAAGGCTTCGATGAAGATTTTATTGCGACACATGTCCTCCACTGAACCACAAAGCTTGGTTTCCACTGGAATACTGCGCAGGCTCTGTTCCCAGAAAGATTATTGTCATCTCATCAAGGGACATTTTATTATTATTAATATAAATACAAGCCTAGATAGAGAACACACACATACATACATATGGGGGAAAAGGGAGGCAGTGGTTCAGTGCCACAGCCTGGTTGGGAGGTGGGAAAGGGCCTCAATGAACCTGAACTCCAGGTTAACGGTGCCTCTCTGTCATGTCCTACTCATGACTGTATAACCTCACTTCCATTTGCTGACTCTCTCATCCATAGCAGGCTTCATTTTTTTGAAGCCAACAGGTGGCAGCTTGCAAATCTGAGATTTCTATTACCTATACAAATGGAAAAATATTGTGACAACTGGAAAAATCACTGATAGATGAGACAGACAAAGAGAAATGATGGTGGATGGCTACAGACAGTGGCATGGAGGAATATCAGCAGTGGACTCGATTCAGAACATTAAGGACCGAGATCTGTGGAGATGCATGAACGATTAAGGCACCTGATAATGATACACAATGAGTGCTTCAACATGTTAAGACTTTTATTATGGCAAACTTCCGTGCCCACATTTTCCATAGATGCCTCGAGACATTCAGTGTGACAGCATACAGGCAGATGGTCTTAGGTAGCAACTAGACAGTTTTACATTCTGGATTTCCCCAAACTGGTAAAGACAGTCATTAGAATGCAGCAAGATCAAATACCATCACAAGGGCTACATCTCAGAAGATCAACTACAAGAGCAAGAGGACGGCCGCGGAAAACATGGATCGACAACATTAAAGACATTCTACGCCTTCATGGCATGACAATAGCCAGTGGCAGCCAACATGCACCGGATCACAAATTATTCCTCCCCACGACGCTTAACGGCAGAAGCGGTTTATGATGACGATGATGGTAAAGACCGTACACTAAAACAAAACAGCGAGAATCATACCTGGCTCTCCTAGACCTCCGATTTCTCTTGGCGTTTCTTTCATTTACCTGCTGTGGATGCCACTGTTGGGGGTAACCCCAGCCACCAAACATTTGTGCCTGCAGCGCCTTCACCGCCCGAACATGCACGTGATACCATTCCATAACAAATCTGTAATGAGACCAGTATCGGTTGAAACATGATGCCTGGTACCATTTGGTTGAGGAGAAATCGGGCAGAAATGTTTGCTTCTGACCCTCGGCCGATTCATCTGCATCTTCCTCGTCAAGTTCATTATTGTTATTTCTGTCATTACACATTTGCAGACTGCTTGTTTCAGAAAAATCTGTACTGAATTTGCTGGTTGCATCATTCACACTCCTATTCTCATGAAAAGACTCTGACGTTTGATGATTCAAACCTGGATGGTGCGAGCGGCCACCCTTCCCCTTTGTTGCTCCTTGACCTCTGGCATATTTCAGCGGAAGGGGATTTGTACCATAAGGAAACTGAATAACTGGCGTAGCTATCCCTGTCTGAACACCACCATTTTGAGAAAGAATTTTCCCATTATTATTTTTTACAACTGTCTCTGTAGAATCTTGTCTGTGAGGGACAACACTCTCAGACTCGTTTCCTCGAGCCCCTTTGGCCTCTGCGGGAAGTATTCTTCTACGCTTACTCGCGCTGTCAGCTTCCTCTGTGACATTTGATATTGAAATACTGATCAGACCAGGGGTGAGTTTGTCATCAGTGTCCGTGCTGCTGAGCACTGAGGAGGTGATGTTTGAGTATGATGACTCTGTGGTGTCTGACTCGGATTCAGCAGACATCTCCTCTTCAGTAACCGAGGTAATGGAACTTGTCTGTCCTTTTTCTGCCATTGCTTTCGGGACTAGCAAGACGGTTATAGCATCTACCGGTTAGTAAAACCTGTGTAAGAAAAAAACAAAAGGTTTTAAATGAGTTATATAAAGCAGCAATTAGAAGAATAGGACCACAACCAGTCATACAATGTATTACAGCACAACAGATGAGATGCTTTGGCTAAGTAATGAGAATGCCCTGGTACCAAAAACATAGCACAGATGATCCAGGGCATGATTCAAACTTCACGAGGCCTTATGGCTACACAAAGAGAGAGAGAGAGAGAGAGAGAGAGAGAGAGAGAGCAATAAAACACGATAGGACATGTTTGTTAACATTCATAGACCAAGAAAAAGCCTTTGATAGAGTCGACAGGAATATGCTGTGGGAATATATGGGAAAAAGGGAATCAGCAAATCATCTCATTAATATATAGTACTTAGTAAATGCAGCATAAGATCGAAGGTGGGATTGCCAAGAACTTTTATAGTTAACTCTAGTGTGCGCCAGAGCTGTGTACTACTATTGCCGCTTTTTTTAAAAACATACATGGATAAGGTATATAAAGAAACAAACTTTAATTATGAAGAAGATATTACAGAATTACTATTCGCTGACAACCAGGTACTCATAGCAAAAAGTAAGGAATGCCTACAGAACCACCTAAATAGAATTAGTAACAAAAAGGAGGAATATAATATGAAAATAAACAGGACATCAGCCGGAAAACTGGACAGAAAAATTAGCTCGAGATGTGCCAAAGCTAATCAAGTAATGGGACAACTATCTCCCCTGTTGACATACAAGCAGAAACCTCGGAGTACTAAATTGAATCTTATCAGAACTACTTTTTGGCCAACACTATGCTATCAATGCCAAAAGTGGACACTTACATCCTCCAATAAATGTAAAATTGTGACAACAGAGATGAAATGCCTAAGAAGAGCTGCACTAATTTCAAGGAAAGACAGAATACGAAATCACACGAATGCTAGGAATATAGAGTTTTACAGGTCATCAAAGAACAACAAATGAAGTGGTTTGGACACCTAACAAGAATGCCCTGGTACTATCTGCTACATTGAGCCTCGCTAAAACATTACAACGGGTATAGAGCGATCGAAAAACCTCAGAAAATATTGAGTGATGGCATTAAGAACAGCCTTACAGAAATGAACATCAATTTAAATAGTGCTCTTGACAGAGCTCATTAGCGAACATTACATCCCCACCCCCCCCCAGACACTTTGATGAGGTACAAGGTGGAAGAGAAGAAGAAATGCAGGTACAGTTATATTTCACTGCCCTGATTGCAATGATATATACAGTTGCTAAAGGATGTAATGAACATCAGTCTTAATAGTGCTCTTGACAGAGCCCATCAACGAACATTACATCTCCCCCCAACAATTCGATGAGGTACAAGGTGGAAGAAAAGAAGAAGAAGCTAAAGGATGTGTTGAGAAACAAAATAGTCATTGCTACAACATGCTAACATTTAGTCATTTCATCTTACTGGGCCGCAGCCCGGAATCCAAATTTTATCACACTCCATTATAATTTGTCTATGTATGGTGGTGTCTGTCACTAAAATGTTATTATCTCCTCTCAGAACTGACTTACAGATTTCAATGAGATATATATATTGGATTTACAATGACAAAATGATGTGATGGTTTCATAAGTAAACCCACAATATAATACTTTAGTAGCATCCCTATTTTTATACACTGACATTTTCTTACGGGGGAAAAATAAACATGGCTAGACCCATATACAAGAAATAAAAGTAAAGTAAAAATATCAAGGTGAAACTAAAACAGTCTGCACTTTTGTGGCAAAATTGAATCTGACAAGAAGACAGTCACAGAACCGCCGAGGTGCGTCGTTCGTTACCGGGCGTTTAGTTAAAGGTGGCAAGCTTGTTTTAGTGCGTTATCAACCACGTTAGATCTGCATACTGCTGGCGGAATTTTAACTTACACTTGTGCAATACTAGTAAGTAAACCGGTTTATTTTTCTGTGAGCCCAACCAACTCTTCAGGCAGCAACAAACTCAACATCTGTGTTTAGCCAGCGTCCATAGCTAGACCGCCACAGCCAGGTTTTTCTCTTTCACCCAGCTAAACCAAAATCCATCTCGTTTTGTTGAGTTACTAGGTAATATAACTATATATACAAATACATTTTAACCCCGGCTCATCTGTGAGTGCTTAGTCTCTCTGAGTTGATTTTGCAGTATATATTTTCACTGTAGCATGCTGGTTGTGACCACAACAGCTCGTCTCATACTGTCTCTGAACAACCTTACGTGACTTTCGTCAGGGAGGATATGCCCTACAGATACCGCTATACAAATAACTAGTGGAGATAGCGCTAAGATTAAATATTATACGATACTGTCTGTGTTATGTGCTTGGAAAGACGAGACTCTTGACAAATTCATAAATATGGAACTAGTGATCTGAATATAAGCTAATAACACTAAAAGTACAGCCGATTCACGAGTCAGTAACTGGTGGTTCATCATTTTTACTTAGCACAGTCGCATATTCAGTTGTTCATCCTCTGTTGTATGAATTAACTAGTGTATTTACTATGAATATGATTTAGTCACAATATGTCAATCAACTAAAATAGTTACGTTGCGTTAACGGGATTATAGTTAGTGACACCACAAACTGTTAAGTTCCTGATCCGTACTGAAAATATAATAATATTGTTTTGTTAGCATTTATCAAATTTGATCTATCTACGATATTTCATTAGTACTACTTTTAATTGCTGTTGACTTCACACAGCCAGTCATGGGTGTTAAAACAGGTACTGGAATATATCATATATTCAACAATTTCAAGTGCCTTCATTTATTATATCACCACCATTATCCATCTCGTATGACAAGAAGCTTTACAGTCTTGTTGGGTAATGGTTCAAATGGATTCATGCAGTCATTTAGACCCCACAATCTAGTCAAGAAGTGTTTCTTCAATGTCGAAGAGCTTAGACAGTGTTGTGTGCATGCAACTTCATTTTATACACAATGTAGCAGACTGTTCAGGAAGTATCCACTATTGAGCTGGACATGTGTGTTTACTGTACCACTGCAAGCTGGTTTCATCCTTTTGTGCAGTGTTCCATATTTGAAGGAAAGACTTCTCTTATGTGGCAAATGTGCAAGTCTGCATCCAGGGCAGTTTTCGTCATGGCCTGCAGTACCTGAAGATATCCCACAGTCTTCACACAGCTCACAGGTTGTTGCACTTGTATGTACATTGAAAGAATGTATCCTCACATATCTGAGAGCAATTCATTTGCTGCTTGTATTCTTCCCCCTGCTGCTGATTTACCCCGTGACACGTAAGTTGTAATTTTTGCAGGGAATTTTTTTAAAAAAAGTTTTAAGGAGATAGTTATTGTCTGTAAATCTTCTTCTTCAGGTTCACCAGCTGTAAACTCTGGCGGAAAGTTCTGGTTGTTCATCCACTTTTGGACTGCAGTCCTGTTCCAGAACCTGAGTGTTGCATGTGCATCAATTTTACAGATCTGACTAATTTGTATGCAGACTGCTGGTTCCTTGCCTCTCAGGTAGATGCACTCCGACTTGGAAGGAAGCTCCCAATTAGTCGACTCTTACGAACATGCTTTTGCGCAGGCAGTGGGTCTATTCTTTTCCCCTCCTTATAATAGGGCCCCGGAACCCACACAGGATGGTCTGTAAGTGATAGTAGCCATTTAAAAAATAAGGATTATAATAAAGTAAAAAACATTATCAGTATTGTCTTTTGCTATCTAAAGGGTAGAAAACTGCAATTACTGCTTTAATTTATCAATTTTGCAGTGTAGGTAATGTGGTCTTTGAGCCTGAAAGGATACTAAGGATTTTAATTTGGGTCTCCTGCATGAAAGCCCTGTGTTCTTATCTGTCCTCTGTTAACCAGAAAAGACGCTTAATTTTAAGAGGATTAACCTAATTCCCTAGGATGGTTTCATTTCATATATGATCCTGATGTCTTAGGTAGTGGGATCAGATAGCTAGCCCTTGATAAGAAATGACTTTCCCTTGAAGCTTCCCATAGTAGATGCAGTTATCTCGAGGATTAATCTGTGATGAAATTACACTTTACCAGTAGGCACAAATGATTCAAGAACTACACTAGATATTTTGGTGAATTCCTTGCTTCAGCAATGACTCTGACAGATCTTCAAAGCCCGGCTTGCTAGCGCAGTTGGTTAAACTTGACTGAGGGGCAACCGGGTGGCAAACTGATTGTGGTCCGGGCTCACGCCCAGGGGTAGGCAAAAAAGCTCAATTTCTCTCAGATTTATGGTATCTGTCATGGAATCAATGCCGAAGGGTTGCGATTTCCATAGTACTGAGCCAAAGGGTTAACAACTCATGGTTTCTGGATACTTGAATTAAAAAAAAAGATCTTCAAAATCAAAAGAGGTGGAAATGAAACCCTCATCTTTTATGTAATGTAAACAAAGTAAATGACATAATAAACTGAGAGAAATTATTCATTCAACAATATCTGTCATAATCACAACCCAAATTGGTTGACAGGATAATGTTTTAAATAATAAAAAGACAAAATGAATTAATATGTTATGAAAACTCAATAAACACTCTAGGCTATTCTCCGAATAACGGTCCTAAATTATCGAGGCAGAAAATATACCCTAACAGGGCCTCAGTCACGTGTCAATTGCTTACACGGCGTGGATTGGGGCTAAACTAGATGGCTGGGACTCAAATAAAATGAAGGAAGCTGCAGGAGATGTGGTAGCTGCTGCTCGTGAGTCCCAGTCATCTAGTTTAGCCCCAATCCACGCTGCGTTAGCGGCGTGGGGGATACTCTCGGCGGTGGCAGAAGTCGCCGGAAGTGCGCAATTTAAGACGACAGAAGTGCGCAACTGACACGTGACTGAGACCCTGTTAGGGTATACTTTCCGCCTCGATAATTTAGGACCGTTATTTAGAGGATAGCAACACTCTATATCCAAATTATAATGT